GTTTTTTAACTATTTATAGATTATGTCCATGTCTGGAGAGTCCTGTGTTTTTTCTTCTTTTTTATTATTGTGATTATTGGTTTCATCCATCCCATCTCTGCATTCAGATACTCATTCACAATACCATTGGGTCACCCATTGGGGGAGATGGGCAGCATACAAATTTGAAAATAAATAAATAAAAATAAATAAAATAAATACTTGAATCTGATGTTGGAAATGTATGTATGTAAGGCTGGCAATTGCATGATGACATCTCTGTATATGAGTCATCATTTGGGCATCATCATAGTTTCTTGTGGAGAAATAGAGCTGAGTGTCATAAGCATATTGATTACACTCTCCATAAAATCCTGAAGAAACCTCCACTGGCTTCATATAGTTATGAAATAGCATTGGAGATAAAATGAAGAATGCTGCAGTATAACTACCAGGCTTCAAAATCACAGTCCCCCAGTAGTATTCTCTGAGACTGTCCCTGAAAGTAGGACGAGAACCACCACATCCCTGTAACTCCAGCCTGTCTTCGACAATCCATGAAGATGGCCCAGAAGGATACTATGGTCAGTGATATCAAAAGTGCTGAAAGATCAAGTAGGGTCAACAGAGTTACACTTCTGTCTTTCTCCCACAGATTCATCTGTCAGGGTAACCTGAACTGATTGTGTTTCCAAATCATATAGAAGTCAGACTGAAAAGAGATTGAGATAATTAGTCTCCTCCAAGAATGTCTGCAGCTGCACACCCACCACTCGTTCAAGCAAATTGCCCCCTGTCCAAGGTGAATAACTGGACAAAAATTGGCAAAATAATCTGGATCCTAGAAACTATTTTCAGGAAAAGATGGATCAATGCTAAAAAGTCAGTGGTTCCACTCTGTCATATCATCTATCATACCAGTTCTTTGAGGTTCCAACCCTAGCTTTTCTGGAGCAGGTGAAAATAAAACCCTGAGCACCCTAAAGAGAATTGCTGGGTAGCTACAAAGCAATTCATTTCTATCTTCAGTGCCATACAGTAGACCAGACCAGGAAACCAAACTCCACAAGAAGACTAGAACTATACTTTATTGAGATGGGCTATAACAACAGAATCTTGCATGATTGTGTTTTACCTCCCCTCCTTCTTATAACCCAGTGAATCAGGGAGGAGCTTTTCATGAGTCACTTCCAAATACTATCTTGCTTCCCAGGACTTAAAGAATGTTTCAGCTTCTTTGCTGATTCAGTGATTCTTGCATATTCTGCCAAGGTAATCTCCTGTTCTCTCTACAGATATTGACAGGATCATCAGCTTTGGTTTTTGGAAAATTCCCCAGAGCATTGAGCAATCTATCAGACTCCATCCACTTCTAAGGATGGACCATCTTGGGGTCTCTCACCCACATGGGCAGGATATGATGTTATGAGAGAAGATTCATTCAACTGTGATTGAACAATGAAGTAAAACTACTTGGAATGAGGCAATATTAAGCATTCAATGAAGGCCAAATTAGGTCCTTCTGGGATATCAGTTTCCTGTCCATCTATTTCATATGCCATCCAAGTCTTCTACAATCTGGTGCCCTTCAAATATTTTTTTTACTATTGCTCTATACTGACTGAAGATAATAACTAGATCTAATCCAACATATCTGGAGGCACCATCCTGAGGAAGACAACATTATTCAGATTCTCACTTTTATTACAGCCATCCCCCAATCCTATGTCAAACTTCCCCAATGGCAAGGATAGCTTGGGATGATAGGAGTTCAAATCAAACACATATTTATAAGGTACAAGATAGAAAAACACTGAGCCCACTTCTGAGCAGTACAGTAACATAGTTCTAATCAATTATTTCTTCGATGTGATCTAGTCTTTGACAACTTTATTTGGCTTCCCTGGGAAATTGTTGTCCCAAGCAGTTTTGTGAAGGACTGTATAGCTTTTTGCCCAATGGGGGCAGAACATGGTGGTTTTGGAAATTTTATATCTTCCTGCATCAACTTGGTGCAAAACTTCCCAGTCTTGCGTGACTAGTGAATTGAGCTGGATTAACTTATTTAGAAATTTCCAATACTGAATTTTGGGCAGAATGATTAGCAGCATGGGATCTCCATGGAAAAAAATATTTCTGATCAGAGGGACCCATTTTAGCTATGCTTGGCTGGTGATCTTAGTTGGTTCGATTTATTTGCAAAAGTTGGTGTCCTGGAGTATTTTGTTCCGTACAGCTTTTGGATACTACGAGGCCACTAAAAATATATTTAAAGGGATCCGGTTCTCAAATATTTTTCTCATGTCCCTCTTATCCTGTATGTCCCACTGTTTCTAGTCTTGTTTCTATTTTCAAAGCTGCAGATCGGCGCAGAGCTGGACTCTCCGCCCGGTCCTTCGCTTCCTCCGAACCACTTTCAGTTTCGCTTTTCAAAGCAAGTTTCCCGGAATTCTGGGAGTTGAAGTCCACAGGTCTTAAAGTCGCCAAGGTTGAGAAACGCTGCCGTAGAGCTTAGGCCGTCCCCGCCGCCTGCAGAATTCAGAACTAGAATGGCCCAACGACGTCACCGCTCGGGAGGAAATGAAGCCAACGCCTAAGATTTCCTTATCTCCTTCGCTCCTGCCTTCCCCTTCAGCCAACGCGCCTCAAGCTGCTAGACGGCAGAACGGAAGGCTTTCTTGATCGGAGAAGGCAGAAAGAAGAGGAACGGAGAGAGCAGGACTTTACGGTGAACGCTGTTGGTCTTATTTCGGAAGAGTGCCAGGGACTCAGATAAACAGGGCTTCGATGCAAGAAGAGCGAATGGCGAGGTTTTGGGTCGCCATTCTTCCCTTCCACCCCCCACCCCCCGCGCGAGAGTTCCCGTGCTTTTAAGAAGCCCTCGGCAGGCAGATTCAACGGGGGAAGTTAGTGCCTCCCTTGGCGCTGCTGTATCTTGGCACCCTTTGCTTGTTGCTCAGGAAAACATCTGCATCCTTCTGGGAGCAGGGGGTTAGAGGCAGGTTGAAATCGGAGAGCAGATCCCTGTGTGTCAGAACGGGTAGAAAGAAACATACACCTTGGTGGTTTTTCCTGTGGCTGAACTTAGTGAGCAAAGATCTAATTGGTTAGTTTTATATGTCATGCAAACCTCTCAGCATGGGTTAATTCAATCAGAGAATCCTGTTGTCAGAGAATGATCTTATACCTGTTTACTCAGAAGTAAGTCCCACTCAGTTCATTGGGTTCTTCCTGCAGATAAATGGGTTCAAACTACAATTCTTTGCTGGTTGAAGGGATTTGAATTTGGGCTGAAAGCTGAGGAAGAAATAATAATAATAATAATAATAATAATAATAATAATAATAAATAGTAGTAGTAGTAGTAGTAGTAGTAGTGGTAGTAGTAACCACCTTCAACTGAATCAAATCATTGGGCAGGATTGGGAAACTGAACCAGCAGGAAAATAATAAACCCTGTCCCTGAGTTATAGTTCCTCTGAACATTGAATAATGCTGGGCAAAGAGAATTAGGAAGTGGGCTGGGATATGACCACACTGGGCTGGCTTATCTAAAATTGTAGTATTTCTATGCCTTACAGAGTTGGGCTATGAAATGGTATATTAATAGTCTGGTTAACTTTAAAGAGTGGATTCCATAAAGTTGGAAATACAGGTACAACAGAAATACAGTTGTGTTTAGTGACCACAACTGGGACTGACAATTCAGTCGTTATGCGAAGCAGTTGCTAAGTGAAACTGTGACTGTGCTTATGATCTTACTTCAGCTTTCCTTTGCTTTACACATCTGTAAATGCAAGAATTGGTCATAAAGTTACCTTTTCATCACCACTGTAACTGCAAATAGTGGCTAAATGAGGTAGTCATTAAATGAGGATTTCCTGTTGCAAAGTAGTCTCAGGCTGGCAGGAAATCTGAAACACTCACTTCACAACTCTAATGGACAGAGATGTTGGATGGATCCTGTTGTTTTTATACTATGTTTATATTTGTATTTTTACTTGTGTGTTTTCTCCACCATTCCTAGGCTGAGCAACATTGGTTAAGGTACTTGTTCTCTAGGATAGCAATGACATAATGCTGGTCTGGGATTCATCTGCCAGAACCTAATTTAGGCTGGAGTCATAAACTTTTTGGCAGTGAGACCCACTGAGCCCAGTGAGGCTTCTGAATAAATACACATCTGATTACCATATGTAGTTCGTCCAGTATTCTGTTTGTAATAACGGTCAGTCAGATGTTTCTAAGAATTTCTACAAACAATATATGGAGACAGTAGCCCCCAGCCTTTGGCATGCAAAGGCATCTTATACCCCAAAAGGCGAATTCTTCATATTATCAAAATGGTGCTGTCTGCTTTTAGTCAACTGGTAGGAAGCAGATAGAGGACCATGTATGATATGTATATCCTTATAACAAGGAGAACAATTTGTATCCATGTTTGTGCCTTTTTTGTTTTAATTCTTCACTTTTGAAGCCACTGGAATCCGGCAAGTATAAGTATTGCAACCAACCTTATGGATGCATCACTCTGGTGTGAATAGTTCTTTCATTCATTCAACCTGTTGATGTCCCCATAACTGTATACATGTTTATGTTATAGAGTAATAGGAATATATTCCTGGAAATCCAGTATAATCCTCTTTCTTGAGAACTGTAAGAAGCCTGCAGAAAAGCAATGGCAACAAAATTAAATGATGCTGTGAAAGCAGGTAACATTCAGCTTGTTCGGCAGCTGTTGGAAGAAGGAGCAAATATTAATGCACATGTTGAACGTGGCTGGACACCTCTCCATAGTGCTGTTCAACGTGACTCTGAAGAGATCGTTAACTTTCTGCTGGAAAATGGGGCTGATCCATTTGTTAGGAAGGATGATGGTGCTACTCCTTTTATTTTAGCAGGAATAGAAGGCAACGTGAACATTTTGAAACTTTTTCTTGATAAAGGCTCAGATATCAATGAATATGGCATCAATGGCTTCACAGCATTCATGGAGGCTGCTGTTTATGGGAGAGAGGAGGCCCTGAGATTTTTACATAAGAATGGGGCAGATGTAAATCAGGGCCGTATAGTTGATGAGAATAAAAGGGCTGTGAAAAAAGGGGGTGCGACAGCCCTGATGGATGCTGCCAATCATGGCCATTTTGCTCTGGTCAAAATCTTGGTTGAGGAAATGGATGCTGATGTGAATATCTGTGACAATAAAGATGCAAATGCATTAGTCCATGCGCTCGTGGTGTCTGAGGACAAAGGCTGGAATAAAGGGAAAGAAGAATCAGCCCTTTTCCTTTTAGAACGCAAAATTGATGCCAAGAAGAGGGATGAAAATGGGAAAACTGTGCTCATGCTGGCTGTTGAAAGAGAAAGCCAGAGTCTTGTGAAGGCCATATTAGAATTAGATGAAGTTGATCTCAATGATGCTGATAAAGATAATACAACAGCACTGCAGGTAGCAGTGAAAAAGAAAAACAATGAAATAGCAGCTCTCTTGTGTGAAAAGGGAGCAAGCGTGGATGATGATCTTCTGGCGATTGCCCGTATAACTTACAATAGCAATATGATCAAACTTCTTCAGAAATACAAATCAGCATTTAGTCCAAGGCAGCCAGGAACATGTAAGGAATTCTCTAGCATACGATGGGGGTCAAAACTCCAGGAGCTCAATGGAATGCATCGTCCTATGATTGGCAAGCTCAAGATCTTTCCATATCAAGATTTATGGATCCAGAGGACTACCCAAGGAGGGGTCTACCTAGGATTCTATGCTGGAGAAGAGGTGGCTGTGAAGATATTCTGGAAAGGTGCAGAAAATGCCAAGCGAGAGAAAGTGTGCCTTGAGAAATGTCGAACCAGCAACCACCTGGTGAAGTTTTGCGGCTGGGAAGAGAGGAAGACCTGTCTCTACCTGTGCCTCTCCTTGTGTGAGAGGAATCTTCAAGAGTACTTCAAGGAAGAAAAGAAAAAAACTATGGAAAGCGAAGAGATTCTTCGAACAGTATTTCAGGCCGTAAAGGAACTTCACACATTTGGATTTGGCCATCAGGAACTGCACCCAAGTAACATTTTGATAGGTTGGTGTTTTCTTTTATTTGGCAGTCTACCCATTTATTCCAGTGTAATCCATTTAAACTTTATGGGCTAAATATGGAGCCGCAGATTTTCAATATTACGTTGCAGAGAGTGTTTTGTTCTTTTCAGCCTTCCCTATATAGTGTTTAAAGTGCCAGTTTGACACTTTAGCAAACAATTAACCATCTCATCATCAGAAGTGTCAAAACTGCTTATCATTTAAAAAGGTCCCAAAGCTCACCCCAAAGTAGTTTCATCTGGTCATCTGTACTGTAAAAGAAAATTTCAATACGGTGAAGGCTGATGACTTCCTCCTCCTCTTCCAATAGTCCTTCAAAATGAAGGTTTAGTAAAGGAAGTACAGGGTCTCATTTTATAGCTGAAGGTCAAAAGGTTGAGGAGAGGTGATGACTGTTCCCCATCATGCTGTCTTCCCTTCACCTTCCCTTTTCCTCAATTCTAGAACCAATACTGGGAATGAGCTGAATTTAGGAATAAACTGTCTGAAGTGACTGCATGGTGAGGTGAAGCTAAGAGTGATTTATTTTTCTGTACAGTTCAGACATTGTTTGCTTTATATGTGAACAGAAAAAGCCTTTCACATCTAGTTTAGCCTAGGAAATTCACCCACTCTGAGCTCATTAGGATGAAAAAGAAGAGCAAACCCCCTCCCTCAGCTTCTGTTGGTGATGCCATGTTAGCTAATAATAGTAATAATAATAATAATAATAATAATAATAATAATAATAATAGATAAAAATCCCAAATCCAGTCTAAACAACTGGCTGACTGTGACCAACAATAATTACGTATTAAACTTGTATGCTGCCTGACTCTGGGAAACTCACAACAATCAAGCAAAGAAATTACAATAAAATAAATAAAAGATAAAAATAAAAGATGGGAAGTATGACAGCCCAGATGGAGTGAAGTGAGGGATCTCATTCTTCCTCATCAAAGGACTGGGTGAAGACCAGGTCTTCATGGCTCTTCTAAACAGCAGCAAAGTAGGGGCTATCCAGAAGGTGGTACAGTATTCAAATGTTACGTTAAACAATAGTTTATTGATAGAACATTGAGCTACCAACTACATGGACTTGGGTGCTTTCCTTCTTCTATCCTACTTTGGTAGGACTGTGAGAGGATTTGAAATGTATGTGTTGCTATACAAGAATTACTATATCATCCCAAAGCCTAAACTGTTGTTATTTTTCATCTTAGTTAGTGAAAACAAAACAGCTTCATTAACTCTCTGTGACATCGAATTGGTACCCTGATGGTGGAGTGCTTCCATCAATAAAAGAGGAGGAGAATTATTCTTCTTCACCTCCCCTTTCTGCAGCCATCAAAATCTGGACCCTCAGGACAAGACTGGAGGGCATGGGGAGAAAGACAAGTTAAAATCATGTTGTGTGAGCAGAATTGATCCCTGGATAGAACTGTATGATTTGAAGGTAGCTTGTTTACTACAAAGAGTTTATATTAAATTGTCTAGGCTGCAATCTACTGTACATTTAATTAAAAGTAGATATAAAAACTAACAAGGTTCTCTTATTGTGTTATGAACAAAGCCCGAGGATAATACAGAGTCATTCTTATAACACTAAGAGTATGTTTTAAGATTAAGAGTCACTTTGTGTGAGAAGGATGGCTATGTAAATATGATAAATAAATAAATAATAATATTTTATGTAAACCAACTCATTTGTGCACTAAGGTGAATGAAGTAAAACAGTATTTCAAAAAAAAGATCATTTGCCTTATGCAAAATAAGCATGTTTTGCTGATTTTTTATTTATTTTTTATTTATATATCACATTTATATAGCTGCTCGTCTCACAAAGCGACTCTGGACGGTGTACAACAATTAAAATAAAATAAGTAAATAAAAACAGGCATTATGAAAAGATAAAAAGTTATCAGAATAAAAACATTATCACAATTTTTAAGAAAGATTTTAAAAAGATTTTAAAATACACAAATCCCATGGAGAGAACAGAATATCAATTACAGTGGAGCCATCTAAGAATGTCTCTGGTTCCCAAAGATCCCCTAGGGCTTGAGAGACTTCCCAAACAACAGCAGGGAAGGGGCGAGCCTAACTTCAGGGGGGAGGATGTTCCACAAGGAGGGAGCCACGGCAGAGAAGGCCCGCCTCGTGGGATCCACCAAATGCAAGTCCCTGGCCGATGGAATGCGTGGCATACCTTCCCTGCCAGATCTAACGGGATGGACTGATGTGATTGGGGAGAGGTGGTCCCTCAGATAACCTGGCCCCATGCCATGAAGCGATGGCTTCTTGAGGAGGGGGTGCACCAGAGCCTCTTTAAGAGGCAACGGAACAACCCCCTCCTTCAAAGAAGAATTGACCACCACTGGAGTCCACCCACACGACAACCCCCAGGCTGCTTTCACAAGCCAGGAGGGGCATAGATCTAGGGAGCAAGTGGCTGAGCTCATAGCTCGAAGGACCCTGTCCACTTCCTCAGGTCCAACAGGTTCAAACCATTCCCAGATAACCAGGCAAGACTCTACCCCAGGCATCTCCTCTGGACCTGCAGCAAAACCAGTGTCCAATTGCAAGCAGATCTGAGCAATTTTATCTGACAGATGCTGAGCAAATTCCTCTGTGCACCCCTGCAAAAGGTGCTCTGGGCCCCCTTTACCCAAGAGGGCTTGTGTCACCCAAAACAGGGCTATAGGGCGGGAATCTGCAGATGAAATAAAGGTGGAGAAGTATTGTCACTTCACTGCCCTTACCGCCACCAGGTAGACCTTAATAGCGGCTCTAACCTGTGTCCAGTTGTGCTCGTCCTTGGATGAGCACCAGTGATGCTCTAGACATCTCTTGTTTTATCTCCCTCAGCTCCTCTGTAAACCATGGGGAGTGACAGAATCCATGGGAGAGGCAAGGTTGCATGGGCGCAATCTGATCCAAGGCTTCAGCCGCCCTCTTATTCCAAGTAACAACCAAGGCTTCAGATGGACTGTGCAGCAGACCAGCAGAAGGAAGCCCCAGCTCCTTCTGAAACCCATCAGGGTCCATCAGTCACTGGAGATGGACCAATCTAATGGGTCCAGCCTCACTACAGTGGGTAGCGGTGCTAGAGAATCCCATGGAAATCAAGGTGTGATCTGACAGTGGCAAAGGAGACACCAAAAGCTTCCCCAATTTCAAATCACATAGCCACTGCTCCGACAGGAACACCAAATCCGGAGTGTGACCACTATCCCTCGTCTGGCTCTGGATGACCTGAGACAGGCCCATGGCCATCATGGTAGCCATGAACTCCCAAGCTGCCTCAGATCCCACCCCAAGAGAAGGCAGATTGAAGTCCCCCAGAACCATAAGTCTGGGGGACTCCACTGCCAATCCCAAGATGGCGTCAAGGAGCTCAGGCAGGGAGGTTGCTATGCAGCAGGGAGGCTGGTACAACAGCAACAATCCCAACTGATCCCTAAAGCCCAAGCTAAGGAATAGAGTCTCACATCCAGGGACCTGTGGGGCAGCGCTCCTGAAAGCCATAAGGGATTTCTGGATGACAGTTGCCACACCCCCATCCCTGCCCTGGAGTCTCAGCTGATGCCACACCCGAAACCCCACTGGGTATAGCTCAGAGTGGGCTACCCCCCTGCTTCTGGACCCAGCCAGGTTTCAGTAATGCATGCCAGGTCAACCCTCTCATCAATGATTAAATCATGAATGAGGGAGGCCTTGTTGCAGACCGACCTGGCATTCAGTAGCAGCAGCCTGAGGCCAGGGCCACTGAAGATCTGCTGACAAGGTACTGGGGCTGATATCAAGGAACTGGAATATGGAACCGGTATGAGACATCAGTTCCGAGTTCCCCTGGAATGGCCTGCTCCCTGTCTCCCACCATGTGGGATGGAGATGTTCTCAAAAGATAATGACAAAATTGTGCTGTTACTTCAATTCAGTTTCCAAATAATTCATATTTTGTCCGTATTTATCAATTTCTTTTTTATTTTGTTAGATGCCACTGGCAGGATTTTCCTAGCCGACTTTGATAAGAGCAGAGAAATAACTGATGATATAAAATATTCAATAATCTCAGAAGACCTACAGGTAAATAATTATCTTTCTTTATATGTCTCCAGTCTTCTACATTCCTCAGAATGATAAGTGTAATTATAATCTCTGAAGAACAGGAATAAATGTAAAATTGGTTCTGGTCTTTACAGAAGTCTTCGCATAAAAGCCTAATTTATTTAATGATATTTTTATTTCTTCTCTGAAGAACCCACATACCCTATTATACTTAGTAATTAGACATGGTGTTTCATTTTAAAAATAAATTGCCTTTCTACAAATTACAGTTCTGCTAGTCATCCTTGTGGTGATGGGAATCTGATCAGAGTAGCCATTTGAGAAAGCTGCAACACTATTTCACTCCATTTAAGTTGTCCATTTGGCCTATGGAGCAAAACATGTATGTAACTCACAAGTTGTAATTTTACTATCTGGTGACTGGTATGCTTGGTGCTTCCTGCATCAGCTAATATGAACTAGCTACAGTCTGGACGCAGACCTCGGTGAGAACTAAGTTGCAGCATGTAGGCTAAAGACAGGAATCTGCTCTGATTGTCCTGGTGTGATAAAGCCATTTGTTTGTGCACACAGGGCCTCCAAAAACTTATCCTGTATGTTGTGATGAGAGGCCAGTTGGACTTTGAAGATTTGCCTACAGAATGCCCAGAAAATGTAAAGAACCATAAGGAAATTGAAGACCTCCGAGGAAGGCTGGGACTCTCTGACCAAAGTACCCCAGCCGATGACCTACTGGAAAAGCTGATCAATCATCCATATTTTTGGTCCAAGGAGCAGTAAGTTAATACCAGAAATCTTGTAATTGGCTAATCTGACTTGATTGCCTGCTTATTAGTGTGATAGCCATGGAAGAAGGAGCTTTACAAGAAGGGCTAGAGTGACAGACCAGAAATCATGCAATCTCTTCATTGGAGGTCTTTGAAATGTTAACATTTGCCCTCAGCATTGGACCCCAGGAATCGATTACATGGATTATAATTTTTTTTATCATCTCACTAGCCTGATAGTGTTGAGAACAATGCAATTAATACTGAGAAACAGTTGCTGTCAGCATTGCCCCATTGTATTTTCTCTGCAAGGATCAGATGGCTCATAAGGATCTTATTAGTATTCAATGAAGTATTCCATCTAACCTTTGATGATGAACATGCTACAGATATCAAAGCAAAGTTGGCATTCAAAGTCATTAAATGCTGCTAGTTCTCAAAGTACCAACACAGGATACTGATTGTGGTATGCCAATGAAAGATAACTCTGAATTTAAGGCAACCACCCCATTTCCACCACCAAAGGAGAAGTAAACAGAAAAGAATGATAAACATTATATCTGCCCCCCCACAGTAAAGAGTCACTGGGAGTTGGCAGCATATACATTTAATAATAATAACAACAACAACAATCAGACAAGCACCTGCCACATAACACTCCAGACTTAACAACTGTTGATAAGAAAGACAAAAAAGTCTGGAGAGTGGACATTGCGATACCTGGAGACAGCAGAATAGAAGAGAAAGAACTGGAGAAAATCACAAAATATAAAGACCACAAAAAAGTCTGGAGAGTGGACATTGCGATACCTGGAGACAGCAGAATAGAAGAGAAAGAACTGGAGAAAATCACAAAATATAAAGACCTGCAAATAGAAGTAGAACGACTATGGCAAAGGAAAGCAAAGATAGTACCAGTAGTAATAGGCCTCTTAAGTGCAATCCCAAAATATCTGGAGCACCACTTGAAGACCATTGGCATTGGCAAAATCACCATCAGTCAATTGCAAAAGACAGCTCTACTTGGAACAGCTCACATCCTGCGACAATACCTTTAACACCATCAAACAACATCTGCCTGTCCCAGGTCCTTGGGAAGGACTCGAGAGGTGGATAAAAATGCCAAATCCAGTCTAAACATCTGGCTGACTGTGCAACCAAACATCATAATATCTACACATGTGACACACTCATCTATGTAGAGTGTGACACACTCACCTATGTATATCTATAGGATATGCCTATATCCATTTTTACCTGTTACAATCCATGCTTCAAATAAGGCAGGTAATTGGATAACTGGATAAGTGCGTATAAAATTAATAACTACCTAAAATTCCTGTAAGAGAAGGTACCTTATTTATAAAATTATCTCTGTGTGTCACAGTCTTTCTCACATATAAATCACTGTCCCATGCAGAAAAAGATAAACACGTACCCCTCCGTTCCAGCAGAAATGGCGAGAAAGAAAAAGAAAATCTGGATGAAGATGGAATAGGGTAAAGGGTAGTTGGGGAGGTAAGGAAAGGGGAAGAGAAAAGGGGAACAGTGGGGTACACTCATGCCTGTGGGTCTGGGAGAGAAATAACTGGACAGGGACAAAACAGAAAAGCATTCTTTAGGCATTACAAAAAAGCATCGCATTTAGCAGTCAAGCAGGCCCTCCCAAACAATAGCTAATCTTCAGCCTAATGAGTAAAGTAACTTCTTTCTCATTCTTTTATTTTCATCTGTTCTTATCAACAAATGTAAGACAGCCTCCCTCCCCATTCACAGGTAATTATTTGGGAGGTAAAACATGTATCTCTATTGGGAAATCCAATCAGAGTATAGACCATAGGATTTATGAAGACAGCGTTTGCTTCAATATATCTCCTAGAGCCTAATGGCCTTTCCCCATTGCTGAGTTATCTCAGGGCTCTCTACCCTTCCTCAAGTCAGCAGAAAACCACACTGGTATGAAATTGGCTGTGTCTATTGCCTTTGTTCCAAGAAAATGGGTGACAAAGCCAGCATACCTTACACAACTTGTGGCTGTCACTGGTTGTATTGGCTTAAGAGAAAATGCTAGTAGTAGAGCTATGGGTGACTTGAGACTGTCTCACTCACTGGGGACAAGGTGAAAGTAATGTCATGGGGACATAGGACAAAAGATGTGGCCAAGGAATGTTTGTATCATGATTAGGTATAAGGAAAGGCCGTAGATCTGTCTAAGATTTCAACAGGTGAGAAGTCCCATTTTGTTGCTCTGGAGCACAGAAACACACATACACTGGTGAAACGCATGGCAGTGTCTCCTATGAAAGTTGGAATCCTTAAAGCTGTTTTGTTGCTTTTCTAAGACAGAGCTGGCACCCAGGCCCAAGGGAGAGCGTTGCATGGCCTGGAGCAACACTGAAGGCTCTCCCAACCCGCTAGATAAAGAGAAGCACAAATGCCACTGGGTAACTCCCTCCGGCCTTGCAATCTATATATTCTTAAAGATTCTCTTCATTAGGAACAAGCTAAATGGGCAGCTAGCATGCTGCCCAGGGGAGGACAGGTCTCTAGCATTATCTTTACTTTCAAATACATATTTGGGCAATGGGTAAGCCCATCAAAACCCTTAAAAATTAAAATGGAAGATGGGCACAGCGCATCTGTTTGGAAGTGTATGCTTGCTCAGAAAGCAGACAGAAATGTATTGGAGTATAAAGAATACATCCCAATTTAGAAGGATGGAAGGGAAAATCTCACCAGTTTGGCTTCTAATAAATGAGTGTTTGGTGATTGGCCATGTCCAACCAAGATAGTTGTTTTTGTGACAGTGCAGGCATTCTTGGCAGCCATTTTGTGAGAGGACCCACAATATATTGTCCAAATTGCCTGCAGTCACTTCCTAACTGAAGTTAGTATGCAAAGTTTATTTTGCTGTATAAATACCTTAGCCTCACAGTTCATCCACAGTACTTTTCATCTAGTAGTAATATACTGCATATCTTAAAATTGCTTTCTGTTTTACAGAAAGTACGGAGTGTTAAAAAAGGTCGGGAATGAGATACGTGCCGCTAAGTGCTGTAATAAAACCAGTGAAACAAATATTCTGGAAGCTTTGAAACCTATGGATAATTCTTTCAGGGACTGGAAAAAAAAGGTAATCTGTTGAACAGCAAGAACACCTAGGAATCATTTTGCATCTTCCATTTTAAAGCTTCAATTATATTGATTTGCACATCCAATTTTTGCCCTTTTGGGGAGCTGGCTGTGCTAGCTAATAGGCTTGATGGCGTCTTATACTAGTGACAAGCAGCTAAGGTCTGACTCACATGGGCATGTTCATTCAGCATCCATTATTTAGAGACAGCATGTGTAGTGGTTAAAAGGTTGGATGAGGATCAGAGAGACCCAGGTTCAAGTCCGCCCTCAGTCACTGGGTCACTCTCTCATCCCACCTTGCTTCCAAAAGATAAAATGAAGGACATTTCCATGTAAGCCAGCTTGAGCTTCTGGAGAAAATAAGGGTATAGCTCTAAGAAACAATATTAATTACAGTTTCCAGATGTATTTATATATTTTTTGCTTAATTTAATCAGTATTTAAAACTTACTGCTGCGGACTGCTATTTTGACCAGACTCTACAAGATCATGATGGAACTGAAATAATTTGCTGTAGTTTGGTTGGTTGATTATGTGTCATCAAGTTGTTTTTGACTCCTAGAGACCATATAGATATATTTTCTCCATAATGATCTACCCCTAACCTTTCTTTCAAGTCTCCCAATGGTGCACTCATTGCCACGGCAACTTGAGTCCATCCACCTTGCTGCTGGTTGTCGTCTTCTTCTCTTTCCTTCCACCTTTCCCAGCATCACAGCCTTCTCCAGAGAGTTGGGTCTTTGTATAATGTGTTCGAAGTAGGATAATTTAAATGTCATCATCAGTATTGTTATATCTATTTTATATGTTGTTAGAAGTTTTAAAAAGGAAGATAAAAACGAATACAAACTAATATAAAGGAAGAAGGAAAAAAAAATCAAAGAGAAAGCTAAAAGTGAAAGAAAGGGAAAAAAATAGGAAAGAAGGAAAAAAGATACAAAGAAGTGGCTTCTGATCTTCTTTACAGCAGTTATAAGTACAATTATAAATTTATCTCTTACTCTAAAGTTACAACATGACTCTCTTCTTTCTATAATTTATCCTGTCTTATCATCAAACCATAAATCATAAATTCATTTTTTTCTGTTTTATGCAAAAAGTCTGTATGGGGTTCCCACTCATCAAAAAACATAGATATTGTCTTTTTGCTGATCAAAGAAGTCACTTTGGCCATCTCAGCAAATTCCATCATCTTCACCAACCATTCCTCCATTTTAGGTAATGCTGAATCTTTCCATCTTTGTGCATACAATAATCTCGCTGCAGTTATCGTATACAAAAACAATGTTCCATGACTTTTTTTCCAACTGTTAGTCCATCATTCCCAAAAGAAAGACCTCTGGTCTCAATTGTATATTAATCTTTAAAATACTCTGAATCAGTGTATGCATTTGAATCCAAAATTTTCTAGCTTTTTTACATGTCCACCAAGCATGATAAAATAACCTTGTTCACATTTCCAACATAAATTTGAAATGCCTTTATATATTCTAAACAATTTTTCTGGTGACATATACCAACGGTACATCATTTTATAACAATTCTCTTTTAAGATTATAACATAGTGTAAATATCAATCCTTTCAACCACATATTTTCTCGTCGTTCCATCTGTATATTATAACCAAAACTCTTAGTGCACTTTATCATATATTCTTTCACTTGTTCTTCTTCTGTTTCAAATTTCAATAAAAGTTTATATGTTTTAGCAATTACATGTTCATCACTTATACACAACTCTACTTCAAACTTAGTCTTACAATCTTCAAAACTATAAACTCTTTTGTTTATTTTAAATCTTTCCAATAATTGTAGATAGAAAAACCATTGGCAATTATATCTGTCTATCACCAGTTCTTCTCTTGATTTTATTTTGTATTCCCCTCGAAAAAATTCTAGTATCTCACAGTATGTTGACCATTTGTATTTGTCTATTATTTCTTGTTTATAAAACGCTTCTTGTGCTGAGAGCCACAAAGGTGTTTTTGGGTACAACCTGGGTTTGTATCTATTCCATATTCTCATTATGGCACATCTATCATAATGATTTTTAAAATCCACATTTACCTTGACTTTGATGTACCATAAATATCCATGCCACCCAAATCCACCTCATGTCCCTCGAACTCCAAGAGCCTTTTGTTTCTCAATGGCACCCACTCTTTCATCCAAAAGAAACAGCAAGCTGCAGAATACAATTTCAAATCAGGTAGACCCAATTCTCTTCTTTCCTTTGCTCTTGTAACACCTTATATTTAACTTGTGGTTTTTTCCCCCTTCCACACAAATTTAGATATATTCTTTTGCCACTGTTTAAATGGTGTATCAGTTATCAAAACAGGTATTGTCTGAAACAAAAATATTCTAGGCAAGACGTTCATTTTATCACAGAAATTCTCCCCAGCAATGACAATGTAGCTTCTCCCATCTTAACATATCTTTTTAAACTTCATTCCATATCTTAACATAGCGATTTTGAAATAACATGCAATTCATATTTGTCATAGTGATACCCAGATATTTTACTTTTTTCTCAATCTTAAAACCTGTTTTATTCATCAATTCTGTTTGATGTTGTATCCTCATGTTTTTTTTTTGTGAACATCTTCATCTTCTGTTTGTTGATCCTAAAACCTGCTAATGCATCAAATTCTTTAGTTTTCCCATTAATGTTTCAATTCCCTTTAAAGGATCTTCCAAAACCAATAACAAGTCATCTGCAAAAGCCCTTAATTTTTAAGTTTCTTTTTTAATCTTTACTCCCACAATCCTCTCATCTTGTCTTATATCTCTCGTCAGTATTTCAAGAACCAAAATAAACAACAGAGGAGACAGTGGGCATCCCTGTCTTGTTCCTTTTTGTATCTCACAGGGTTTTGTTAGATCTCCATTAACAATGTGTGTTTTGTGCTTTCTGTGAAGTATAAATCAGTCTAATTTTATAAAGTTCTCTCCAAAGTTCATATGTTCCAAAACTTTGAATGAGAAAGCCCAGTTCAAATTGTCAAAAGCCTTCTCTGCATCTAAGACAAGCAATGCAGCTTGTTTTTCATTAAGTTGCTCCAAATATTCCAAAATGTCCAACACATTTCTAATATTATCCTTTAACTGTCTTTTAGGTAAAAATCCACATTGATCCTCATGAATAAATTCTTGCAAAATTATTTTCAGCCTATCAGCCAAAATTGTTGTAAACAATTGTTCAATATTTAAGTTAATATTCAATAAAATTATTGGCCGATAGTTTCTTGTTAAAGTCAAATCTTGTCCGTCTTTGGGTATTAGTGTTATATCGGCCTCTTTCCAACTCTCTGGCATCTCTCCTCCATGTAAGATAGAATTCATCGTATTTTGTAAAGGTTGTAAAAGTTCATCCTCAAAACATTTATAATAAGAATCTGATAATCCATCTGGTCCAGGCACCTTTCCTGGTTTAATCTTTTTTATAGCTTCAGAAGCTTCTCTTATTGTTATAGGTCCATTCATAATCTGTTTCTATTCCTCTGTAATCCTCGGTAAATTTTGTTTCTTTAGATATTCATCTATTTTCTCCAGAAAGATGACACTTCCTTTATACAAGTTAGAATAATATTAATGAAATGCTTTTTGTATAGTCACACTATCTGTTAATACAGTATCTATCTCTTGTAGTTTCAGTATCATTTTCTTTTCTTTTCCTTTTCATAATTTATATGCCAACCACTCCCCTGGTTTATTTGCAAAGTCAAACTTTTTTTGCTTTACATAGTTCATTTTTATTTCCATTTCTTTTACTGTTAACATAGATAACTGTTGTTGTAAAAGCATAATTTGTTGAGAAATACTTATCTTTGGAAATTTCTTTAATTCTTCTTTTCTCTTTTATCTCATCCAAAATAGCTTGTGTTTTCTCTCGACTCTTCTTTTTGAGTTCACTTTTATGTTGTATAAAATAATCTCTGATAAAAGCTTTACTTGCATTCCAAACCATTCTTAAATAAGTATCTTTATCCAAATAATTTTCTAAAAATTATTTTAATTTCTTTTTATAATCCTCCACTATTGCTTCTTTCTGTTGCAGCATTTCATTTAGTCTCCATCTAAAAGAAC